TTCTTTATTAAGTTTAAATTTGCTGCATCGTTTTCCATGAACTGCCAAAAAAATGATCTAATTTTTTTACACTTGTGGAGAAGATGTGTTACCACACCGTTGTAGCTGATTGATAACCAAATTATTATTTTATAAGTGTTATTACTTCGATCACTGAAGATGGCTCAAACAGAAGCCGAAACGTTTGTTTTAATTTTATAAGTATATCTTAATAAATTATTATATTTAATTCGCAATAATAACCGCAGTCTTTGACTCTCAGTAGCCTGTTTATTTATTTATTGTTTTAAACGTAGATATGTTAAACAACATTTAATTTAAACAACATACGTTTATTTAAGTTCTCGAATCAGTACACGTGTTCCTGTACGATTTAATGCGCGATACGCAGATAACGTTCCGACAATTGATTAAAATGTCGCGTGGTGCTTGACAAACACTCTGTTAAGTGTTTGTTCTCGAGTCGTTTAAGCATACTAATTGCTCTACGCTAATATTTTTCGCAATTATGGACCTGCATTACTACCTTATTTATGCGACCGTTGTATTTCTACGTTGTGTTTGTCGAGTGCAAATTGCGACAGGAGTGCTGCTTGTTAAGTTGAGGATTATTTCGCCTGAAGGAGTAGTTCATGTTATATTAAATAATAAATGAGGGAATGCGGCGAATAACGGAATAACTCGAAAAATGACGTTTTGAGAAAAACGCAAAAAACGTAGAAAAGTACTTTATACATATTATATCGAAAAACTGTTTGGCTGATAGTTAGATAATGATATTATACCTTAAATCATTATAGAATAATACAAAAAATTATACAGAAATCAGTAAAAAACTGGATCGTAAATTTCGAGTTATTCCGTTTTTCATATTATTGACACAATTTTCATATATTGCACTTACTTTATGGATAGGAAAATAATTTCTGCATAATTATTCGTATTTTTAATGACAAATGAAATTTTTATATATTACTTTTTGTTGGGAAATGATTATTTTTTGATATTTTTTGATGAAATCTTATATTTTTTAACTTTTTTCGACAACGCATAATCGTTTTTAGCCGCAGAATCATTCACTTCTTGAAATATGTTCTCGTACCAAAAAAAAATAATCGTTTTAATCTATACTGGAATAATTCGACTTATTCCGTTTTTCCGAATATCGCATTCAGTTTTGCGTTAAAAAAATAGATTTACACTAAAATAATTATGTCAAAATATGTAGCTACAAGTACATATTTTATTAATGGAATAATATAAAAAACGAAATAATTCGAGTTATTCCGTTATTCGCCGCAGCTCCTCAA